TGAGATCATCATCTTTGTTCTGTTTTTCAAACCTGTTGACCTGAATTAGATTTAAAGGAACACATGGATGAGGTATAATAGACGTGTTCTGTTACCAAGGAGTTACCATGCTGTAGTAACTCCTGCTGTTTCTAAGAATACAACAACTCCAGGAGCAGCTTCAGTACAGAGCCTATGCAGTATGTGGCCAGTCTAGTCTCACAGTACAGACACTGTTACGCATATTAACGAATGATAAGGGTTTGTTGCCTACAAACTAATCAGTATTTGGGAGCAGTGGGAAGGGTAAGAGGACAGTTCATAGGGGGAGGGGCACTAAATGTTATTCTATTGGGGGAGGGGGGGGTAAAGGGGGCTTGAATAAATTTAAACGAATCAATGAACTCTGCCCCCCAACTTATATCACCAGCTGTCTATTGAGAGCCAGAAGAGTGTTAACTCACATTCTCCAATGCAGAACTGTCCCTCCTTTGAATTTCCACAGTCGATATATCACTTATCAGTATCATCCTCTTTTTTCAATTACAAACCTACTTGTTGAATGATAAGGCCAACAAAGTCTATGAGTTGACTAACAATCAAGTAACAAACAGCAGGTTGATTTAATCAGAAGGACATTAAATGTGTTAAAAACCTTAGGTGAATGTTTAGAACGCTTAACAATTGATGATTCACAAAGAACAGGCTTTTCCTTAATGCCAGCGTAGGTAATCGACTAATAAATGACATTTCCCTACAGGTGTTTGTTACAAAAGAAAATCTAGTGCAACTTCTATTCTATTATAGAAGGTAACATACTTTTCTACAGATAACAGGGGGAGAATGACTTGCAAAGGCAGTGATTTGGTGAGTTTCTTTATTTCCCTCAAATCCATAAATATGTTAAAAATATTATATCCATAAAACAAACACATAGAAAGAATACTAAAAGTATTTTAACTTTGATAACCTATAAGGATAAATCATATCAAGGAGTTATCATATATGCACTATTCCAAAGAGAGAATTGCGGGTAACAAACTTCTTTTAAAAGTTTAAGGTTACTGTGTGATACCTCTGACAAAACAGAAAATAAATTTTATTCTGTCTCATTTTAACTTTGATACAATATTGGGGTAAAGATGACACACTGTATTCCTAGAGAGATTTCGAGAGATTGAAGAGATTAGTGGATTAAACATGAAGGCAACTTTGGGGAGGTTCGTCTTTATGACAGGTCCATCCTGAGACCTCCCAGAGTCTTTTTATTCTCATCATTCTACCACCATTAACAGTGATCATAACTCTCTTTTTGTTTCTACTACCCCCTTCCCCCTCACAATGTTCATTGCCAATTATTACCAAACTGATAAGGGTATTACATTCATGTAATGTACTCCTGGAGGTGGTTTCACTGAAATGGGATGGAACCGGTTTCATTAGAATGCAATGCTTTTCATCTTGGGGGAGAATAATCAAGATACTGAATTACAGTTTGCTATGTGATGAAGTATCCTCCTTCCATCTCCAATCAACACAATGAACCTCAAATGGAAATTGTGATCATACGATGCGTACAAGGGCTCTCAACTTAGTGTAAGATTAGTTGTTGTCTGGGTGATATTCTTTTGTTTGTTTTTCATGGGTTAGTTAAATATGAGTTAACAAGCTTCTATAGCACCGAGTACCCAACATAGGTCACTATAACAGCACATGATTACATAAGGACAACCTTGTGATCTCATTCTAACCCCTATTTGAATCACTTCTGGTTTTCAATGCCTAATTGACAAATGTCAGCTCTTGACAGACAAATGTTACTGCTGAGTTCAATCTAATTCTTTCTCTTAACCACATCAATGAAAATGTGACTAGTTTGAATGTATGAGTCATTTATTTAATAATGTACAAAGTGAAGCTGTTGCTGTTTAGTGATAGTATCATTCATGATATGAAATGTTACATGTCGGGAGCACCAGGAGGGTCAAATCTGACTGACATGAGCGCTATACAAGAACCCACTATTATTATTATTATTATAAGGGTGTGTGATAATGCTCTAAAGCAAAATATGCATGATTAATTATGACATTATTTGTGTTGACTCTGTGTACTATAAGTGGAAAGCCTAGATGTGGAGTTTCATGGAAACGCACCACATATCCACAAACATATGGCAAGTAGACAATCTAACTATATATTTACTGGTACACCTACATGTAGCATGTTTATATCAATATGACAGACAGCAATCCCCTAACATGAAGTGGGACTACAGTACCTACTGCCACCTGGTAACAAGACATGTTAATCCAAAACACATTCAAACACGTTACATCGAATTGAGCTATTCAATATATTGGGGATTACATGGAAGACTTGAAGTGACATTGAGGTATATCTATCCATCTTCTCAGCTAATGCTATGTGTAACATTTTCTATCCCGATTCACACTTCATTCTTACTTCCTTCCAAAGGTGAGTTGGAAGAGCGGTGCAACATGTGAATATACCTATACCACTTCCTTCACCCTCAACAAGACTACATGTTTGTTTGGAGACTGAAGGGCATTAAAGGTAAAGACCAGTATTGGAAACGCCCAATTTCAAAAAATGAAATGGAAGCTCTCATTACCAATCATGTGAAAGAATATGTTTTGACTAATACATGATGATAAAAAATTCGCCGGGAAACCGCCTACTAATTCATATATTTGGTAAATTTGTTTCTCTCATGGTCTGTGAGAGATATAGGGTAGTCCCATATACATCTTTCTGTGTATAGTGCTTGTAACTTTACGAAGAATGGGCCAAATTTCTTATCATTTTGATGATTCTAGAACCTTGCAGATGCTAGATGCTAGATGATCAACCTTTTCTGATCGATTCCACAACGTTTCTTTCACAATGCAATCGCATGCTCTCAGTTTGTAAGATGTTTCTGAATTGTGCTTAACCTGAGAATGTAAACACAGCTCCAATGTTTCTAGGCATTTAGCCCAGCAGGGATTACATGGCTAGCTAGGTGCGACAGGCAGCTCTCATGCAATCTCCTTACCCCATCCCTCCTGACATCATTATAACTCGCATAGAGCTACAGCACACTAATGAGCTCCCTGTTGGAGATCCTATAAAACGTAGCCATCGATGTGAACAAACCATTTCATATAAGTGACAGCTCCATAACAGTGGCAGATGTAGGGACTGATGCCCCCCCCCCCCCCCCACCCTCCCGCCCTCCAACCCTATAAAACACAATGTGGCATACCTCAAGTACACAACAGAAACTGTGCCACCTTTCAAAATTCTAGTCCCAAAAGGCAGCTGAAAATCTGAGAACCATTTTTTCTTTGTCAGAGAATTTTAAGAAAATTTGCAATAATTCCCCCCCCCCCCCTCCCCCACTTGTTTTTTAAGACTGCTGGATCTTCCCCTGCTTTATATAATGACATTCTTTAATGCACATGCATGTTGTTCCCAGGAATGGATCCCCTTCCAACTTCATCAGAGCTGGCTTTCCATTTTGTTTTTACTTCCAAACCATACATGACTTGTTGAATACAAATGCCACAGTACATGCATGGGATTTCAGTATTGTTGATCATAAATACTAGTACATGTATGCCATACTATATAGTAATGGGAATCTAACATTCATAGCCATCATAAATTACCACTAAGAGGTGTTGTATTTCTAAATCTTAGGAAGATTGGAGCAAGGATTACTTCACATCTGATGAAGATAGCCTTGTTTCACAAGAATTTTAAAACGAAACCTATTTTATAATCTCTTCTTTCACTGAAGGTCTAAATCTTGTAAATATTTCAACAGGGACAGGGGTTGATGGGGAAGATTTTTTTTTTCTTCTTTTCCACAATTGTCTTGGCAAAGTCGGCTTCAGCTCATTTGTATTTTTTAATATTTTATTACACCTTATTTCAATAAAATTGCGGATCGTGGTGAAATTCATTTACCTTGTTTCAATTAATTTCTCAACACCCAAAACCAATCCTACAATAGAGAATTTACTATGAAGCTTAGAGCATATTTCCCTTAACAAATGAGAATAAAACATTGATATCTATCTATTCCCCCCCCCCCCCCCCACTAATGACACAACTAGGGATAGATTTACAGAAATAACTCACCAAAATCAACAGAACCACTGATTTTTTTTCCTCATCAAGGCTCAGTTTCATTATCAATCCCAAATGACTAATCCTCTGATCTGTAAATTGTTTTATACTATGTAATTAATTAGCCAATCAATTAACACCTGTTGGAGTTTCCCTACCTTATGATTCATACGATAGGGCTTATTGTCCATACATGCATCATTCACTCGCAGACAGTCAGACAAATATATATCCTGGGTATTTAATTAAGTCACAAATATATAACCTGACAATAACTCACCTGAGTTAAGTCTTTGAAATAATCTATGACCAATGTTAAGCAAAAACACCTTTCAGAGACCCACCCAAGGCAGGTTTAGAAATGGCTGGCACAAAAGCTGTCCAATACCGAAATGCCAATAATTTTACCATAACAAATGTAACAATTATGGTCATTTCTTTACAAAAGTGGGTGGGTTGATAAATGTAGTTTGAATCCTTACTTATTGACTGCCATGCCATCATGGGCTGTCCCATTTTCTTCACAACCATGTTCAAGTATATTGTATACCTTAACCCTATGACTCCTGAATTCTCTCATCCCTATAAGCTTACTACATGTTTCACCCAGTTAATTTAGGCAATGGGATGAGCTTTTTCAAAGCTTTAACATCTATTTTTCATAGGTAAAGACATATTGAAGAGAAAAGTTAATTGAAATTTTGACAACTTTAAGGTGGACCTTAACCCTATGAATCCTGAAGTTTTCATCCCTATAAGCTTACTACAAGTTTCACCCTGTTCCTGCATGTAAGCAATGGGATGAGCTTTTTCAAAGCTTTGATTTCTATTTTCCATAGGTAAGGACATATTGAAGAGAGTAAATTGAAAATTTGACAACTTACCTAACGTGTCACAGTCTGGCCCTGACCGACATATATCTTCCCTGCAAAAAAGACAGAAACAAAGTAGATATATTTAATTATCAAATAAAACAAGTATACACTGTATACACTGTAAATTCTGAGTATTCATTCCCTTTGCGAAAAGAGAGTATGTCATCAGTATTTAAAATATACTTTATTTTTCATCAAAAATAGAGAAAATATTGAATTGTCTTGCGTATTGTTCTTTTATTCCTGAATCTTGGCACCACAATGTCATGTTTGTATATACATATCATTCAATTTGATGTAAAGAGAAAACTACTTCTTTAAACAATGTACCCATTTCAGACCACTAGACAACAACTGGCATTGCCAAATTCATCTTTATTTTTAGAATTAAGAGTTCATACTTAATTCCATTTTACGAATTGAAAGATAAACATATCAGCTTCCCACAGACGTTACTTGTGACATTATGGGATACAAATTCAGGTTATACTATTCATTTCATTGATGTGAAGCTGTTTTCTGGAATCTTGTAAACATGACTACGTGACACAAGCCATGTAATTCTTCATACATACACAAACACGTACACACAAACATAAACACACACAAACACATACACACACAAACACACACCCACAAAAATCCCCCACACAACATGAGTACATCCTTCAAAATAAAGGGGAAAAAGTGGGTAAGGGAGCGAGAGGGACATGTGTGATGTGTGGAGGGGGCTGTCACCGTGACACTTTTCCACCGCTCAATCTGGGTCAGGCTGAAATCCTGGAGCATTCTTGTTGGGGGTAGTTAGCATGCCACGACCAGGTTGGCCAGCTCAAACTAGCCTAGCAAAGTTTATTTGGGTTGCTCCCTAAATCATATATCATACAGGCAACCAACCAGTGGTAGACCACAGTTTACTTGGGAGGATTCCTCAGGAATTTAAAGGGGGATGTGGTGATCGGTGGAGGTGCCACATGATAGGCGCAGAATTTAAAGACTGGGGGACAATTCTTCCACATCTTATGAAGATGTATTTGTAGATGCAATGTACCCATTCACCTGGAGCCATGAGTATGTGAAGAGAGTATTGTGACTGTGTTTGCTTAGTGAGTAAGTGCATTGCCTTTTCACCTTGTTATTTCAAATGCTAACAGTAAAAATGTCAATAATGGAAATATTGAGCCCACCCCCCCCCCTTATTTTACCATGTTCAAGAGATCGCTCCCCAGTCAGCTGATACATTGATAACCCAAGTGGTTTTAGAGTTTCATTACCATCACAGAGTTTTTATATAGAAATTGATGTCAAGATTTTACATGTTGTTCTCTGAAATTCCCCAAATTATATAAATATCAAACAAAACCACATGTTTTTTACATAAGGTATTGTTAATCCTCCTTAAGAATTGAAATAAAGATCAACCAGTGGTGCTAATTTGCCAACCACAAGTTTCCCAGTGCCCGCTGAGAGTTCAATTACTTCATTCTCAGGGGTCAATTTTGAAGGTCAATAAGCAGGGCAGGACCTAAAATGAGCAGACTCCTTTATTTCGTAGTTTACCTCTCTGTCTTAATCACTTATATGGAAAATAAACTCAGGAGTGTCAGAACTGAAAGCTGCTAAAAAGCAATGTTTGTTTCTCGGGAAGCAATCACAATTTTTGTTGTTGTACCAAATGCATAAGGAATGATTGATCGATTTACAGAATTGTAATTTACAACTATAGTGTAGTGTTAAAGTATCAAAGCATACAAGATTAATGAAGAAAATTGTTAATACTGCAGATATCGTCTTTGCCTTAACGAACCAATATAGCTCCTGTACTTAAAGCTTATGCACCTATGTCGATTCTTGAAAACCGGCAACAATTTGCCCTGAGATATCTTTTTCTTCAAGGATTTCCTAAAGAATGGGGCCACAATGTTGCAAACTTTAAACAAAAACAAACCCATCTCTCAGAGATATCATCAATGTTTCCTCGGATCACTCAAATCCTGGGTTACCTTTAAACTGAAGGTAAGTTTTGATAGCATAAGAAAAACAACATGATGGCATGTTGTGGATGCTACTGGTAAAGTAGATAGAGCTCAATGGATAGAAAACATAACATGAGGAGGCAAGCTCCCTGGCTTTGATGTGAAGTGACTGTGAGTGAGGTTGAGCTCTTCGCAGGCCGATAGACTAGATCCCGCTGAGAGCATTACAGCAGCTGTATTCTGCCCCTAATCACAGGAATGTGGGGTGAGGTATAGTCCCACACATAGCTTTACATGTCGGTAGTAATGTAACATTGGCATGACCTCACAAGGTGCCAATTACATGCTGAGAATGTTGCACATTTTGAGGGAAGTGATCTGCTCCCACCGTTTCCGATAGTACCAAGAGACAGACAGACAGACTTTACTTCACAGAGCATTGCAAAGTACTTCTCCCCTTTGAAAGATAACATCACGCTTGTAGATACTGATTTGAAATGTCAATATATACCTTTCTCTCAACGACTATTTATTTAGGAAATCTAGACCCTATAACAATTTCTTGGGTAAACATACATTGCTCATGAATTTCATATTTAAGTAAACAAGAATGTTCAGACTCACGATGACTGTGATATTCACTCTATGCAATGCACGTGTGAACTTTGAGGCATTCATGAAAGTGTATGTGATGTGCATTCTTTTCTTTGAAGTAAAATAAATGCACTTTCATATGCATTGAATTCCCCCAATCAATGACGATATTCTAAAAGAAAAGTCATCCATCACTGCCTCTATTTCCTTGTGTCTCTCTAATGATGCACTAACAAGAAAGCTGATCAATTTATCTAAGAGTTCACAGAGTTCACACCGCTAATTACGTCAATATATCAACCACACTGTCTTCTTCAATATCCTCCATGTACCTCAGACATTATTCTACCTGACAAGCAGTGTCTGGATTATTATTGTCATGTACTTTGTGGGATATAACACTAACTGATTTTCATGTTGATCGACAACCAACCTGGAATAGCAGTTTACTACAATCGTCTGCCTGGTGTACTATACTCCACACTGAGACGTAATGGAGCATGTTGCAATTTATGATTTTTTTTTTATTTTAATGATTTAAGTTTTACCAGGAAATGTCTTCAGGCTGAATCTCTATGTTTCCTTTTTAAACGCCAATAAGAGTAGGCAAGTGTACTATGACAATAATGTTTTTTTTAGTTAACCGAAGAATTGAGTTTACTTATTAGTGGTGACACTTTTGAACTCCACTTTTCTAGAGCTCTGGATTTCTCTATATTCTTTTAAGCCTTGTAGTAGGTGTCTTACCATAACCATGATGAATATCCAAGTGGTATTAATGATACTATAGACATTACTTTTAACCCGCTTCTGTTCTCGAAACATCTTTTTTTAGTGCCACTATAGAGACCTAAAAATAGAGACCTAATAATGGCAAAGTTTGCTCTGAGCACATATGCCTTACAAAAGTGAACCCCAACTTTCTCATAACAAAGACATAATATGGAGCCATTATCCTCCATATTATCCCATTAAAGTATATAGGTTGCCATGCACAACTATCACTACAACAGCAGATTTTCTTCCAATTGAGAAGCTTCCGGTATCATCAGGAGAGATGCGCTCCACAAAGATTTCCTTCTTCGGCTCTCTTCCTGTCTCCAGACCCTAAATCTCCTGCTAAATGAAGATAAACATCTTACCAGCCCAGCGAAGGTCCGAGTTAAGGAATCGGAGCTCCTCTGGGATGAGGGGAACATAATGAGTGTCTTTCAGCTGGAGGATCTTAAGAGGGCATGCCCTTGTCTTCAGACTGCTAACAATCTTTAACATATGCGTTCTGGGATGGAGGAGATCACTGCTGAATCAGAGCAAATCTTCACATTTCATTGTGACCTGCTGTCCTACAAATCACCAATAAATTGCGGACATACTCGGCAGAGGGTTATTCTTTATCAGCTGTATTTAGTACAGGGGCCAGTTTCTCGAAAACATGATAGAAAGAGGTGTTAATTCTGCAATTCATGATTCTATGGGAAGCCCAAGAAGCTTGACTTATAATGACAATTTCAAGAAATGGCCCCCGGATGGACAGCACTATTATACTACTGGGGGCGTTTCACAGAACTTGTCATCAGTGACAAATGACAGTTTTTGTTATAAGCTACTGAAGTCCTTGCTTCTGATTGGTTATCAGCAGATTTGTCAATGATTTTTGTCATTTGTCATTGAAAAAAGCTTTGTGAAATGGGTCCCTGGTCTTTGTGAAAAACTATTGAATAAACTTGATTGATTGAAATAAGCATAGGCAAGCATAAAATGCAATTTGTAAGTAAAATGAATAGAAATAGAGATAATGATCAATTGTATTGATTGGCTGATCTGGCCTGTGACTAATTGATTGATTGGCCAATTGATTGACTGGTCAAGTTATTGCTCAATCAATCAATAATTTTCTATTGCTATATTCATTTGATTGAATGAATCATTCATTCATTTAATAATTGTTCACCTATTGGACTGAGTAATAAAATAAAGAACAGATTATCTGTAACAAAAGACATTGCACAAGTAGACAGGGGGAAAAATCTGTCAAAAATCTCAGAATCGTCATTATAAAATGAAGAGGTTCTGCTGCTCTACATTCATATCAATTTCCCCTCTAAGACACTATATTAGTTTATCTGCACAATAATTCCTAATCCTTTCAGAACTCGCATAAAAAGAAAACATTTGATCTACTATCACGATTGATTCCAACAACCTCTGCTCTGGATAATATAGTGACACTGACTGACTAATAAGGTTGGATAATTGGACCATGTTGGGAAAATGATATCATGGATTCTCTTCACAAACTCACTTCCTATCTATGGTATCCTTTTACCTGTGTTCAGAGGGCTCCAGGCTAAGTACTACTCACAAGTGCCAGGAACTTCCTCCAAAATATTTTGAAGGAAAAAGCTGGGTTCACATTCGGCCTTTCCTGACGCATGCTATACATCATAACATTGAACGTTCCATAGCATCTTATCTAA